AAATCACGAGATGTTGTGAATGCAGCGTTAGACCTGGGTTATCAGCAGTAACCAACAGTACTTCGAACCTTTAATTTTTTTTACATTTTAGTCATTTAGCAGACGCTCTTATCCAGAGCGACTTACAGGAGCAATTAGGGTTAAGTGCCTTGCTCAAGGGCACATTTACGTCATTTAGCAGACGCTCTTATCCAGAGCGACTACAAATTGGTGCATTCACCCTATAGCCAGTGGGATAACCACTTTACAATTATACTTTTTTTTTTTTTGGGGGGGGGGGGGGGTAGAAGGATTACTTTATCCTATCCCAGGTGTTCCTTAAAGAGGTGGGGTTTCAAATGTCTCCGGAAGGTGGTGAGTGACTCCGCTGTCCTGGCGTCGTGAGGGAGCTTGTTCCACCATTGGGGTGCCAGAGCAGCGAACAGCTTTGACTGGGCTGAGCGGGAACTATGCTTCCGCAGAGGAAGGGGAGCCAGCAGGCCAGAGGTGGATGAACGCAATGCCCTCGCCTGGGTGTAGGGACTGATCAGAGCCTGAAGGTACGGAGGTGCCGTTCCCCTCACTGCTCCATAGGCAAGCACCATGGTCTTGTAACGGATGCGAGCTTCAACTGGAAGCCAGTGGAGTGTGCGGAGGAGGGGGGTGACGTGAGAGAACATGGGAAGGTTTGAACACCAGACGGGCTGCGGCATTCTGGATGAGTTGTAGGGGTTTAATGGCACAGGCAGGGAGCCCAGCCAACAGCGAGTTGCAGTAATCCAGACGGGAGATGACAAGTGCCTGGATTAGGACCTGTGCCGCTTCCTGTGTAAGGCAGGGTCGTACTCTCCGAATGTTGTAGAGCATGAACCTGCAGGATCGGGTCACCGCCTTGATGTTGGCGGAGAACGACAGGGTGTTGTCCAGGGTCACGCCAAGGCTCTTCGCACTCTGGGAGGAGGACACAACGGAGTTGTCAACCGTGATGGCGAGATCATGGAACGGGCAGTCCTTCCCCGGGAGGAAGAGCAGCTCCGTCTTGCCAGGGTTCAGCTTGAGGTGGTGATCCGTCATCCATACTGATATGTCGGCCAGACATGCAGAGATGCGATTCGCCACCTGGTTATCAGAAGGGGGAAAGGAGAAGATTAGTTGTGTATCGTCAGCGTAGCAATGATAGGAGAGGCCATGTGAGGATATGACAGAGCCAAGTGACTTGGTGTATAGGGAGAAAAGGAGAGGGCCTAGAACTGAGCCCTGGGGGACACCAGTGGTGAGAGCACGTGGTGCGGAGACAGCTTCTCACCACGCCACTTGGTAGGAGCGACCGGTCAGGTAGGACGCAATCCAGGAGTGAGCTGCGCCGGAGATGCCCAGCTCGGAGAGGGTGGAGAGGAGGATCTGATGGTTCACTGTATCAAAGGCAGCAGACAGGTCTAGAAGGACAAGAGCAGAGGAGAGAGAGTTAGCTTTAGCAGTTGCGGAGAGCCTCCGTGACACAGAGAAGAGCAGTCTCAGTTGAATGACCAGTCCTGAAACCTGACTGGTTTGGATCAAGAAGGTCATTCTGAGAGAGATAGCAAGAGAGTTGGCTAAAGACGGCACGCTCAATAGTTTGGAAAGAAAAGAAAGAAGGGATACTGGTCTGTAGTTGTTGACATCAGTGGGATCGAGTGTTGGTTTTTTGAGAAGGGGTGCAACTCTCGCTCTCTTGAAGACGGAAGGGACATGGCCAGCGGTCAAGGATGAGTTGATCAGCGAGGTGAGGTAGGGGAGAAGGTCACCGGAGATGGTCTGGAGAAGAGAGGAGGAGATGGGGTCAAGCGGGCAGGTTGTTGGGCGGCCTGCAGTCACTAGTCGCAAGATTTTATCTGGAGAGAGAGGGGAGAAAGAAGTCAAAGCATAGGGTAGGGCAGTGTGAGCAGGACCAGCAGTGTCATTAGACTTAACAAACGAGGATCGGATGTCGTCAACCTTCTTTTCAAAGTGGTTGACAAAGTCATCCACAGAGAGGGAGGAGGGGGGGGGGGGGGGGGGGGGAGGATTCAGCAGTGAGGAGAATGTGGCAAAGAGCTTCCTAGGGTTAGAGGCAGATGCTTGGAATTTAGAGTGGTAGAAAGTGGCCTTAGCAGCAGAAACAGATGAAGAAAATGTAGAGAGGAGGGAGTGAAAAGATGCCAGGTCGGCAGGGAGTTTAGTTTTTCTTCCATTTCCGCTCAGCTGCCCGGAGCTCTGTTCTGTGAGCTCGCAATGAGTCATCAAGCCACAGAGCTGGAGGGGAGGACCGAGCCGGCCGGGAGGATAGGGGACACAGGGAGTCAAAGGATGCAGAAAGGGAGGAGAGGAGGGTTGAGGAGGCAGAATCAGGAGATTGGAGGGAGAAGGATTGAGCAGAGGGAAGAGATGATAGGATGGGAAGAGGAGAGAGTAGTGGGAGAGAGAGAGCGAAGGTTTGCGGCGGCGCGTTACCATCTGTGTAGGGGCAGAGTGAATAGTGTTGGAGGAGAGCGAGAGAGAAAAGGATACAAAGTAGTGGTCGGAGACATGGAGGGGAGTTGCAGTGAGATTAGTAGAAGAGCAACATCTAGTAAAGATGAAGTCAAGCGTATTGCCTGCCTTGTGAGTGGGGGGGAAGGTGAGAGGGTGAGGTCAAAAGAGGAGAGGAGTGGAAAGAAGGAGGCAGAGAGAAATGAGTCAAATGTAGACGTGGGGAGGTTGAAATCCCCCAAGACTGTGAAGGGTGAGCCATCCTCAGGAAAGGAACTTATCAAGGCGTCAAGCTCATTGATGAACTCTCCAAGGGAACCTGGAGGGCGATAGATGACAAGGATATTAAGCTTAAATGGGGCTAGTGACTGTGACAGCGTGGAATTCAAATGAGGAGATAGACAGATGGGTTAGGGGAAAAATTGAGAATGACCACTTGGGAGAGATGAGGATTCCTGTGCCACCACCCCTCTGACCAGATGCTCTCGGGGTATGCGAGAACACATGGTCAGACGAGGAGAGAGCAGTTAGGAGTAGCAGTGTTTTCAGTGGTAATCCATGTTTGCCGTCAGTGCCAGGAAGTCGAGGGACTGGAGGGGTGGCATCGGCTGGGATGAAGTCAGCCTTGTTGGCGGCAGACAGAACGGCAGTTCCAGAGGCTGCCTGAGACCTGGAACTCCAGGTTGTGTGGTGCGTGCAGGGACCACCAGGTTAGAGAGGCAGCAGCCACGCGGTGTGAGGCGTTTGTGTAGCCTGTGCGGAGAGGAGAGAACAGGGATAGGCAGAGGCATAGTTGACAGGCTGGCAGCAGATGCTACAATAAGGCATGAGGAGGATCCGGAATGCGGGAATGCCTAATGATGAGTTGACTAAACACATCGCTGGGAAAGGAGCGAAGCGAGGTTCCTGCCCTACCAAAAACAAATCTATAATTACATAAGTCTTCCCACACGTTGCCACTCAGAAGAAGAACATATAATAATGTGGATTACACTGAAAAAGCCACCAAGCCGAGGGTAAACCTCTCCACAACTTCACTTAGAAATTAGAATTGTGTATGTAAACGACACAGCACTGTTTATCAGTAGTAGCTGTATTAAGTACACGCAGCACCAACCACTAACGTTAATAGACTTGAGCTTTGCAGGTTTAGCAAAAAAGCAGCTGCTGCTGCGCCGCTAGCTGCGCTCAATCACAGTACTTAGCATGAAATAACCTTGGAAACAATATCGAAACAAGAGTTTTTCGCAAAAAAGTTAGAAGAGTTAGCTACCCGCTAGAGAGATAAGCTTTGTTGGGTCCAACAGTAGTGGGTAAAGGGCTAGCTCGGTTCGCCGGAGTCGCCCCGAATACAGTCCTTACCTGCAATAATTTACCTACAATAACCTTCAATAACTGACCTGGTACGCTTACCTATAATAACCACCAAACTACAATACCTACCTACAATCTACATTACATGGTTTAGTAGAAAATCTGACAACCCTTATAAGGAAGCAAGCTTACCTTTACTAAACCGCAGCAAACGATATTAAACGTTGGGTAGCATAGCACCAGATAAGATTATAGTATTTAGCTACCACAGCCTGATGGTAGTGTTGGTAGGCTAGACAATGGCACTGTGGATGAACTTGTTGACTGCAAAACGGGGGGCGTCGCTGCGAAACGAAGTGTAGCTGCTAAAAGGATATTGTTTTTAGTGCAAAAGCATGATGCAAGACAAAGAGACAGAGAAAGAAAGCCGACAATTGCCGAGCGAGGGGGCCCCTTTTTCTTCTCCTTTCCGATGGGGCCGGGTAATAGCAGTAGATATACTTGGTTTGTAAATGTCCCGAGACCACCCCTCTCCCCTGCCCCAACTCTAACAACTGGGCAAGCTAAGGGTTGCAAGCCTAATCCGGCGTAAAAGTGGCGACACGCCGAGCATTATATCGGGCACGATGCATGCCACACTCAGCGTTCACCCAAGGCACCACTCCCCCCTGCGCCATTAGGACCGAGCAGCGGTACTCAAGATCAAGGTTACGGGACGAGACCAATGTGGCAGTGAGTGTGGAGAGCATCCCCCATTCTCTCTGTGGAACTCGCCCCCCCAAGGGAACTGACGGGGGTAACTCCGTCGGGATGCCCCAAGGGAGAGCACCATCTCGAACGGATCGGGAGGCTGGTGACTACCGGAGCTAACCCCCCTACCCCTGCACCACCCCACCTTTACCCACACCCCCCCTCCTTTCACTTCACTTACGCCCACCGTTACCTTAATCCCCTAAATATCTTCCCCCTACCTGCTCCCCAAAGCTCAACCGACATGCCCAATTTCAACCTCACCCCCTCATCCTTTCACCCACCCCACCCACCCATCCACCAATCCTCCTACCCCCCCTCCTGTCCTATTAGGCTGCGCGACTCGACCTCAATCACAGTGGGTTAGCTTACCCATCAGCACTTGTCGCGATGACCTCATTTTACAACCCCACGGAAGCCTCATCCAACAAGGGCGGGGTTACACACTGTTTGGGCTACCACCTAGCAACATGCGGCGGACCAACTCAGGCGTTAACCCTGGGAAATTCCCACACTCCCAGCCCCAGGTTCACGGGCGTCGACCCCTACAAGCGACTCAACCCCTCACCCCGGTAACAGGACGGTGGGATGCCACTGACCTTAGCCAGCGACCGCATAGGAGCAGTCAGGTAGTGTGCCGTATAAGAGATAGCAAGGAGTAGGGAGGGTGGGGGGGGTTTGTTGTTCCTACGCTCCACTCGCAGGGGGGAAGATGTCTCGCTCCGTTAATGTGGGTCCATCTCGAGCGCCGCTTGTGGGGATCCGGTGATGCCGCTGTCGGTGCGGGTGAGGGTAGAGGGAAAGCAAAGGAGGACAAGGGTAGCGGAGGAGGCGGGGAAAGCAAGGGCAGGGATACAAGAACAAGGAGGACGAAGGAGAAACGAAAGGGGAGTTCCCGGGAGCGGTCTCTTATGTAACCCTCGGTGAGCAGCATCACCCCGTACTCATGAGGAGACCCACTTGCCGCCTTTTCCGACTAACTACCTCCGTACCCGGACTGGAGTCGTCTCCCCACCGGGCCGCCAATCTCCCGCTGACAACCTTCCCCCCCCGGAACCCAACCACGATGTCCATCCCACCATACCCACGTACATCAAGGCGCTGTCCTGGGTGTCTCACTGGGAGACCCAATGGGTAAGTGGTTCGTTGGACTGCTAGAGCCAACTCAGCCCCCCTACGACTCGTGCCTCGTCAGGCCCGGACGTGGCGCCCCCCGCCGGATCCGTTACAACACCTGGCGTCACGCGCACCGAGCTCTCACGACCTTCGATTTTACTTGGGCCACTATCTCACCGGGACAACCCGTCTCCCCCGCCCCAGGTGTAGGGCCACGCCCCGAACTAGGCCACGGGCCCCCATCACTCCGCGAGCCTCACTGGGAGCCCGTGACGGTCGGCGCCCCCCAACCAATCGACCGCACCGTAACGGTCAGTCTCGCGGAGTCATCAGAACTCCCACCGGGATCAATCATCCCAGGAGTGTAGGCCTCGCGCCTGAATCGACCGCCACCGCCCCTCGGAGCCGCACAGCGCCACAATCAATCCTCTTCCTGCTAACCTACACCCTGTGTACTCCGCACGCACCGGGCCGCGCTCTCAGCCGGCACCCTGGCAGCCCGGGTCAGGACCCCACTCCAACGAGTCCCTGGGCCTACCCGATGGACTGTCCTCGTGGTGAACCTGCCCCACGGTTAGGGCACAGGTGTGGTACCCCCTTCTTGGGGGGTCAGCACGCCGCCGGGTGGTGAACGTTGCGGCGGTTGGTATGTGTCTGACAAGGTGTTAGCTAGTGCTTCGTGCTACATCCGGCACCGCCAAATACAAAAGTAACCTACAATTAACTACACAACAGCTACCCACACAGCCCAACGATGCCTACCTATACTACTTAAGAATTATACAGCCCCACGATGCCTTTCCTACTATAGGACCTAAATACAATCTAAATACATCGTTTAAGCCTTACTCGACCAAAAGCCCCAGCGATGATAAAGCCAAACTGGCAGACTGCAACAGTAGCGAAATTAAGTACAGCGCTACCAACAACCTAAGTTAAGAAAGGAGGTTAGAACAACAGCTGAAGTGGCAGCAGCTGGCCTCAATTACAGGGGACTCTGTAAGCGTGAAATAACATTGGAAACAAGCTAACTACAGTTGAGTAAAAGTTACCGGTAGCTACCCGCTCCCGCTAGCTAGCTAGCTTTGTTGGTCCAAGTAGTGGGGAGGCTAGCCTCGTGCTCGCGGGATGTTCCGCCGCCGAATACAGTCCTACTACAATAATTACCTACAATAACCTTCAATAAATACCTGATGTTAAACCTACCATAATACCTAAACTTACAATACCCTACCTACAATCTAAAAGATGGTTTAAAGCGTTACTCAACAACACCATATAAGAAGCCAAGCTTACTTCCGGCTAGAGAAACACAACCTCTCAGTCCGATCCGAGGTTATTGGAGGTAAATATTTTTAGGTACGGACTGTACTGTAATGTAGCAAGTGTCTCAAAGCGATGGGTCCTGGAAAACCTTGTATAGTGCATTGGGGTGAAGAGCTTGTCGCTGGTTTGAATTGCTTGGCTTTCTCTGCGTTTTTTTTAACTTCTCACTTAATTGTAGTTTCAATAACTTGGTTATTGAGTATGAAAAATGGTGAACAATGTTGAACGGCAAAAGTTTCCTTGCCAAATTAGTTTGTTTAATAATAACGTTATACTACCTTAATAAAAAAAATATAGATATCTATTTTAAAAATGGACTAATAAAAAAATTAGAAAAACAACCAGCTAATATTTTTATGTGCTACACGTTCCCGACAGCAAGGGTGAAAATACGGTATAGTGTTACATGACCCCATGGGCTGCTAACAGAATTTCTCCCTGTATTTCCCACATTGTTCCACTTGGGCAAGGTAGAAAATAAGCTGTACCATTCCCCACCTCTGTACTGGCTTCTCCTGCCACATCTGGTAAGTTATCAGAGCTCACAACAAATTATCTACACCAAAAATGATCTACTCCGTAAAATCAATGCTATTCTCTCATTCTTACAGATACAGACCATGAGACTCACTAATTTGCTAAATGTTAATAATACCCACACTAATTTCTTTAAAGATCATATCCTTGCACCTGTACATTGAATACTGCATGCTGACAACTCAGTAGGAGTTAAAGATAATGTCACTGACCTTGGTCAGTGCTGATTCTGTTGCTAGAGGAAGATTTGTGGAGGCTAATCCTGCATCACTAACCTAGCCTACATCTTTCTTTCACCCCCTGTCAGGGAGCCCACGTGCCTTGGTGAGGGAAGATATGGTCTTAGCCTGGGGGAGCAGTGGAGATGGCCTGGCAGTCTGTCAATCTATGGTGACAAAGGATGACAGGTGAATAGGTTAAGGTGAATGGGTACCTTTAATTGAAGGGGATGGTATGTTCAGCTTTGGAAGCTAATTCCAGAACCTAAAGGCTGAAGCGAGGTGCAAGGTGTGAAGCTGTAGGAATCAAAATGGCTCCAATATACAGTATACTATACAGGGGTCATATGCACAGGTCTTGAAGGAGGTAACACTCTTTCCAGCTATGTCACCAGTACATCATCACCTTGTTAACAGCGCCCTGACAGATATCTTGATCTTTAACAGTGTGACACTTACAAATCCAAGACCTCATGCCCCTTGTCTCTGTATCACCTTATCAGATGTTCTCTCATTCTAATGGAGAGAACATCTCGTGCACAGCAAGACAGACAGACAGACATTAGGGCGGCAGGTAGCTTAGTGGGTAAGAGCGTTGTGCCAGTAACCGAAAGGTCGCTGGTTCTAATCCCCGAGCCGACTAGGTGAAAAATCTGTCGATGTGCCCTTGAGCAAGGCACTTAACCCTAATTGCTCCTGTAAGTCGCTCTGGATAAGAGCGTCTGCTAAATGACTAAAATGTAAATGTAATTACGAGAGCGAGACAGTTTGTCTCTTTCCCGACAATCCCCTCTGTGCACGAACCCTTACATATGGTAATTAAACATTAAAACACCTGCGGCTTATAGTCCAGTGCGGCTTATATATGTACACATCATTCAATAGCATTCAATTTAGCTGCTGCGGCTTATACTCCGGTGCGCCTTATAGTGCGGAAAATACGGTATATACATACTGTACATACGATAATTTTCCACTTGTATCCAACTCTTTCTCCAATACAAAACAATGGCCTTTTTGGATCTAGGATGCCTTTGATGTGCTGGGCTTCTCCCAAGAGGAGAAGAATGGCATTTATAAGCTGACTGGTGCCATCATGCACTACAGCAACCCGAAGTTCAAGAATAAGCAGCGGGAGGAGCAAGCAGAGGCAGATGGCACTGAGGGTGAGTGCTGAGGATTTAAAACCTCTCACTTCAATATACAGTTGAATCTGAAACATCCTAAATTAGTTAGCATGCCTCTTCCAATCATAAAACTTTCCCTTTCTAGATGTCGACAAAGTCGTATATCTGATGAGCCTGAACTCTGCTGACCTAATCAAGGGGCTGTGTCACCCAAGGGTCAAAGTAGGAAATGAGTGGGTCACCAAAGGTCAGAGTGTCAACCAGGTGACTCTTTAAAAGAAATGTGAACATAAAACTTCTGTATAGAGTTGCTAATATTTTCATGCCTGTGATTCCCCATTGAACATGCTTTTTAGGCCAGGACTATGTCCGATCTGTGTCTAGGAAACTGTCCCTATGCATTTCTGTTGAGGCTATGTTTTGGTAATTTATTTTCTCAATATTTTGTAGGTGTACTACTCTTGGTCACTT